GTGTGTGTCAACAACACATATGTGGAGGTCAAAAGACAACCTCAGATATCACTCCTCATCTTTGACCTTGTTTGAGGCAAGGTCTCTTGCTGTTCACTGCTGTACACCACCAGGCTAGCTGGCCCTGTGTTTCCCAGGATTCTCCTGCCTCTATCTCCCACAGTGCTGTAGGAGTCCTGGGGTTATAGACAGATACAGCTACCATGTGCAGCTTTATGTGTGCTCTGGGGATTCAAACTCAGGTCCTTATGCTTGTGAAGCAAACACTTTATCCCAGCTTAATCTCCCAGCTCAATAAAATGTTATAAATACCATGACAATAAAGATAGTTTGTCACCACACAATGGACTTATCTAAAGGTAGACCCTTCACAAAGATTTTCCACATTTGGTCATACTGATGTTCAAACTGCATTTTCTCGTTTTCAAAAGTGATTTGTATAATATTGGCATCAGCATAATGCTAATATTCAACTTTCTATTGTAAATAGAATTGTTAGGGTTTGTGTTATTTAGCATAAAGGGCTTTCAATAACTTCGAAGCGAATGAGAAAGAGCAAATTGACTCCAGTTCACTATTTTAATGGCTGGATGCACCTTCTGACTGCAATGCAATGATGAACAGCCCCTAATTAATTCATCTGGCAACAGCTTACCCAGAGTTCAGAGACACACAGTCCTTCCCAGACCTACGGCTAAAGAAGATGCGATTCATTCGTTCATTCATTCATTCACTTTCCTCAGTGGACTCAGCCACTGAGGTAATCCTTCCACCCTTCTCTCTATCCCTACGACACAGGCTTGCTATGGAGACCAGAACTGCCATCCCCACGCTGTGTGTAGGACAGAACAGAAGATGAATTTAGTCATAGGTGACCTGGGAAGGTCTCGATTGATGAGCTTCCATGTGCTGTTTGCATTAGTGAATATGAGCTGCAGGGAGCTGCTGTCTCCTGGGTCCCACGGGTCTTGGTGTGGGGAGATAGCAGACAGTGCTGCAGTTTACTTAGAGCATTGATAACACCTCTAAATAATTAACTCAGGACTTCCTGTCTTCAATTACTTAATGCCTTTTTTTAAACATCTTTAGAGGATTATAAGCAATTTATGGGTTGCGAGTGATGAGGGCCTTTGCCACTATTCCCACAAAGCATTTATGGGATCATGTTTCGGAGGCTTTGAGGTAATTAAAAGTAAGCATGGAGACAACATGGCTGTGGCAAGGTGCTAGTGGTCCCTCTTGCCATCCCCCGGACTGAGATCCTTCAGGCTCCAGGAAGGCTAGTGCTACAGCTTCATTAGGGCTCTGTTGCTTAGGGAATACCAGGGTTTGGAAATGAAGAGAAATCTAAATATGTATTTCAAGCATCTCAGGCAGTCCTTCAACAAACATCTGAGATAATCTAGGAAGCAAATTCCATTATCTTCCTTTATTCCATGAACCTCAGTGAAACACCCATCACATCATAAATGCTTCTGTCCTGCATTTGGTCAGTCAGCTGACCATGGACCTGGTGTTCTCTGACAGAGAAAGCACACCACACTTTGGAGATTCTGAGTTCAGAGATGTTTGTGCCTAACATCACTCCCGTTCCTTATGAACTGTGTTTAGTAAGCTTTGGACCCACTCTCCTTAGTGGGTCCAAGTGAACAATTCTCTAGCTGCATTTAAGACGGATGGATGGACCAAATGACTTTGGAGACTATCACAGCAACCTAGTCCAGATGCAGAGAACTGACTGTAGATATCTAACTCAAGCCCTGCACTCAGTGCTAGGGAACACTGCAAAAGAGAACAGAAAGACCGTAAGAGCCAAATGGCCAGAGCATCTGCTGTGAGATAGTGTATTTGACATACAAGAGAATCTGTGCCCAGAAAAATCTCAGTGGTCTGGTTACCTAAGCAAGACCAGCACAATGACAACACCAGTGGACTACTTACTGACTTCCCAGTGTGGATGGGGGAAATCCTACAAGCCCCCACCCCTAGATGAAGAGCTGCAGGCAATTAATGGCTGCTGGAAGACATCCCTAGGGAGGACTCCACCCTCCACACACATATCCAATCCCAAGCGGTCAGCCCCAAACACATACATATCTGAGCAACAATAATGAATTCAGCAGGTTGTATTAATATATACATATATATGTAACAGTAATAATTAAAGATAAATATAGGAGGGTTTTTGGGATGTGGGAAGAGTTAGATGGGGCAGAGAGTGAGGTATAAATAAATGATGGAAATATAGCACCATGTAGGAAAATCTCAAAAAGTAATAAAAGAAATATAAAAAAGGATTATTTTCACTTTATGATATTTGTAAAAGTTTAACTTACATAGGAAAACTTTAAAATATTTATTCTAATGCAAGGACTTCTGGCACCAATATGTGTGTATAAATTTCTCTATGACATGAAAATATTGATTAAGGATGACCATGAAAGGAAGAATCAGTGGAGCGAAGGGATTTACAGAGAGAACTTTGAAATTATTTCATAATTAATGAGGCCATCCATCCTGTGGGTTTGTACACTATAACTGAATTTGGTTTGCCGAGATTTCAAAGCCAATCCCTCATGCAACCAGTACAGCTGGCAACAAAGCCAGGCTACTGACGAAGACAGACTCGACTGAGCCACAACGCTCCAGCCTTGCCTCTCAGTTAACTGTGAAACCAGTATGAACTGGTACATGGCTTCAGGTGGCTTTAGCTGACTTTTAGAATGTTAATTCACATTCAGTTATGATGCCATTGTCCACCCAAGTCCTCTATATCACCAGCCCTGCGCCCTGCACTGGCCTAACCACCATCCTCTTACTGGTCAGCCTTCTCCATTGCCAAGAGCATCTTAGAGGACACAGTGCTAATCAACTAATTTATTAATTTTATCTGTGAGGTGTGTGTGTGTGTGTGTGTGTGTGTGTTTAGTGTTTGCCAGTGCCTGTGTTTTGTGGAGGTCAGAGGTCAACATGAAATGTCTTCCTTGATTGCTCTCCACTTTATTTTTTGAGACAGGGTCTCTCACTGAACCCGGTGCTTATTTTTGGGCTACATTTTGGCTGGCCAGTGAGCTCCTGAATTCTCCTGTCTCCGTGACTCCCTCTTCCCTCACAGTGTTAGAATTACAGATGTGTGCCACCTCAGCAACTGGCTGTTTTTTTAATATGAAAACTTGCACAGCAGACACACACTTTACCCTCTGAATCATCTCCCTAGCCTTCACAATCTTATTTGTAAAAGTTTTATATATTATCAAGACCATAACCATTGGCTAGTGGTAGGTGCGTGCGCGCGCGCACACACACACACACACACACACACACACACACACACACACACACAGAGAGAGAGAGAGAGAGGGAGAGAATCATGAGTCATTCTGATTCCTTTACAGATGGAGCTAGTAAATGCTGTGGCCATCCTGAGTGGGTGAGTTTTCTTCATCTTTTAAGCATGGATGCTACAAGCCTCCCTCACTTACAGGGATATGGTGAGAAATAAATGAGTTACAATGTAACTCTTCTTTAAGATGGTAAAGACATGAAGAAAGGTGAGGTTCTATTACATAAAACAATGCATGTCGATTTTGAGTGAAATAAGATATAAGAAACCAGCACGAGCCTTTGAGCTGATGAAAGCATTCCCTATCCATGCTACCACTAGGTCAGCACATGATCTCCAGGTGGAAGGTGTGCAGGTGTACAGGTGTGCAGGTGTACAGGTGTGCAGGTGTGCAAGCTTGTACTAAGTGTCTTCCCAGGACTCTCAGGACTCATGGAAAACACCAGCGATCCTCTCAATCAATGCTTTCTTGGATGGCAGAAAACCACAGAACTTAGGAGCAAAATACCACGCAGCTACTTTTCCACCTGTGCAGCCTAAATTTGGACTTCTGAAAACCCAGGCATAGCTTTCTAGACATTTCTGTGCTTTCCTATAAGTTTTGTTATCTGCGTGACTAATACTCTTCGAAAGCACAGAGCCCAGCAGGAGGAGGTCATTATTTTGGGAAGTCTTTGAAAAAAATGGAGAAATAATGACAGTTTGTAAAATCGTGGTCTCAGAATCTAAACTTCCAGATGTGTTTGTAACGACTCACCGGACCCCAATAAGGAACTAAATGACTGTCTCCCAGAGTATTTTTTTTTTCAATAAAACAGAGCTAAGAATCACCTGTGCCCTCTTGGCCTGCTGAGGGTGGGTTTAGGTCTTAGCAACGCAGCACTGAGCAGGTAGCTCAGGCCCCTGTCTGCAGCCTGCATTTGCTAGTGATGGAAGCAAAAGAGAGAGAGAAAAAAAGGTAAACACCAAATATTAAACTCCCGGGGTGTGCGAAGTCTATGATCAAACTGAACGAGGTGATAAGAAGACAAAGTCAGAAATACATGTTCTCGTCCAAAGAAATATTCAAGCTACCCATGTTAATTATTATTACGGTCACTGTGAGGGTTGACCCAGCACTCTGCTCCTGCACTGCACTACTGTAATAATGATGACAATGCTACACATAATCAAACTAATACAGTCGCTATTAATTAACAGAAATAATGACGACAAGAAGTCCCAAGCAGCCACTGTCAACGAGGGAGTATTAGCCATTCACTCTGGAGCTTGCTGGCAGACTCTCTCTGCTTTTCTTCTTCCACCTCTCAAGTCCGACTTGGCTATCCTGGCCCCATTACCTGGGAATCTATCCCCGGGGAAAGAGAATGCATCGTGCTGTTTGTTTGAAAAAAAGAAGTTCATACTGACACGAGCCCCCTCTCTCCACGCTGCGTACCAAAGCCAAATATAAATGATTTCTGAAGTTCTCGGCTGCCGTGGCTTATTGCTGCCAGTGTGGGCTCTTCGATTAGCATGGATTAAGCAGGACCTGACCATATGTCAGGAGAACGTGTCCTTTCGAAGTGACCTCATATATCAAACACACACCCCTGGGAGGCTCCCCCCAACCCCAGCGCCATGACAGCCTCCTCCAGGAGATTTCCCGTTTTGTCACCTGTGACCGTATGCTGCCGCCTGTCACTTGTGTCTGTGTAGATGAGCCCTCGCCCACCCAGCCAGAGCTGGTACTCCTTAATGACATCTTTCGTTTTCTCAGGGACACTCCAGCTGAGGTGCAGTGTCTCTGGTCCCCGGGCTGTGATGTTTGGTGGTGAGATACTCTCAGGGATTCCTCGGGTGGGAGCAGCGACGACCTGCGAGCGTGGAAATTAAACAGCAATTTATTGTCATTGTCCACTAGGAATCCTGATCAATGAAAATGTCGCTTTTGTTTTAGAGCTTTGCCGTCTGGCGTGGCATATCATTAGCAAAGGCTGGGAGAAGGAGTCCCCCCTCCCCTTCATTCTTTCCCTCTCATCCTATTTAAACAATGAAATCTGACCTTGAATACATTACATAAGTCTCCAACTACTATTTATCACAACAGGTCCGACAACAATTTTGAAGGCAGAGTGCGGCCCTCAGTTTAAACAAGTGCAAGCCCGCCTGGCAGACTGTCTGCCTGGAGAACTCTCTTCCATATGGCCCATCAGTGTCTTTGCATTTTAACAGCCTGATTTTGCAAAGTTAAGCATCAGTAAATATGGAGCAAAAGCTACGTCTGAACTTGCTAGCACAGAGCATGCTTTAAGCAGCATAACGGGCGGACTCCCCTGCATTCTTCCCAGGACGACGGTATGCTGTCTATGCTGATGCTCTAGGAAGAGAACCAAGTGAGAAGAAAAACCAGCCAGTCACCGAGTCAGTGGTGTCAAAACACGGTTCTGGATGAAATTTGCTGTTGGGAAGATGTTTTTTTTTTCCCCCATAGGATAAACCTGATTTCATGTTTTAACCAATTGTTCTGGCATCTGGTCGGCCCAGGCCCTGTTACACACAAAATATAGAATTGTCCAAGGACCGTTCAGACTGGCTTTTGGTTGGTCCAAACAGCTGCCATCTGTCAGCATGGCAGTGGGCTCAGTCCTCACTGGGGCTCTGTGTGTTGTGTGGCTCCTGCAACGGTGTGTAGGCCCCACTCTTCTGAAGTTTCAGTCAGGTGAAGAGCGTTAGAAGCATTCTGTCTGTCAGTGGGTCTCCCAGGTGGCTTCCCACATTGCTGGCCTATGTGAAATGGCCCTGGTTCATTTTCTCCCTTAATTCTTTGTTTCCTCTCAGTCTCCTCCGAGGCGTTTTCTTTCTTCTCCATTCTGTAGCAGTGTACATCACTCATCACCAGTGGTATTCTGTTTTGTTTCTCTCTGGTGCCCTTCATGATCACATCTATACCCATTGCTTTAATTTCTCGGATTGATTTTTCTAGCAAGCCCATCTCCTGGTCTGGCATCCAACTAGACAATTTTTTTCATTTAAAATGACCAATGCTATCTGCTTCTATCACCCTGCTCTTTAGTTTTGAGACACTTGAAGATAATCCTATCGTTTTAACATCTTTGTTTCTGCTTGCACCATAACAACACCACCTACAAACAGCTGAAAATACATACTTTAAAAGGCATACAACACTTTACTTTCTTCTTTTCTGGGTGTCTGGCCTTTTGCCATCATGACACAACTGTGTCATCTACAAAGTTTATGCTTAAGAGCCATAGAATCAAATTTAAAAAAATGCCCAACAGCTCATAATGTTTTAAGTAGTTTATAATTGAGCACTGGGGCTCAGTCATAGCAATCCCAGGGGTGTATATGAACAAGGGCTGCAGGTTGGACACAGCTGCATATTCTATACAGAGCTGACACCAAAGTCTGCAGATTCTATCACCTGCGTTCTGCTGTAACTGTCTTTTATTTTAGGATATTGTTTTGTAGCCCAGGCTGACCTCAAACTTACTGTAGCTGAACATGACCTCGAACTCTTAATTCTCCTGCACACACCTCAGGATGATGAAATTGCAGCACACACCTGGCTTATACAGTGCTGGGGACTGAACTCAGGGCTTTGTGCATCCTAGGTAAGCACTCTACCAACCAAGCCTCACTCCCAGCCTCTCATTCTGGACCCAGTGCCTGAATCTAGGCCTTTATTATTCCTTCCCAAGACTTCTGCTGGAGTGTTGGGGTCACTTATTTGCATGGCAGCCTCATCCATTTCTGGTTTTTAAGAGTGGGCAAAATTTGAAGGTATGATATTTAGGTGCAAATTTAATTAATTGATGAGTAATTTTGGACATTTGATGGCTTTGTAGAATACTACTGCCCCATTCCATGTTAAGCCACTATAACAGAGTACCTACGGCTGAGAAACACCTGAAGAGAAGAGTTTTCTATTTTTACTCCAACGTTCTGGAAGCTGAGAAGTGTAAGACTGGATGGCTGCACAGGGAGTGAGGCACCCTGCTGGAATAGAAAGGTACCTGGGCCTGTGTCACAGCAACGGAACATGAGAGGCAGCCTCAGGATAACCTGCATCACGGCGATCGCCTGGTCCTGGGAATGTGATGATGTACTCTTGATGGGCATTTGATCCTGTGGACAGGATCCAGTGTGGATTCCTTGTGACTCCACACCTCTCAAAGGTACCACTACCACTCACCACTAGCTCTGGGTTTCTTTCAAAATTGGAATGCCCCCCCCCAATTTTCTTCCAGTGCCAGATGAACTCCAGGTGCTTCAAATTTAAAGATCTAGCCCTGACATTAACATTTATTGAGCACTAACTGTTTTTGATACCAACCCACATCATGGGAATATCCCAGCCAACCACAACAAATACCCAGAAATAAGTAATGAGAGAGGGGTGTGAAGGAGTCATTGACATTGGCTCAAGAGTTTGCTGTTCCTAATAAAACACTGATATCTGGTTAAATCTCTGTCACAGGAATCTCCCCTTTCAGCATCAACATCCATCGAAGGGGACACTCCCTCAATGCCACTTTGAGGGAGACACGGTTTTGTGGCCTTGGAAAAAATCACACCCAGGATGCTCACACAGCCCTCACCCTGGACTCTTCTTCCCACAGGTAGGTGAGTTCCTCTCACCTTGCTGCTGACCGCACAGCCAGAAGCTGTGCAAGCTTTCAGCTGGTACGAGTATTCCTGGAGTGGCTGAATCCCCTCTGTGTCTGTGAAACTCAGCGATGTTCCCCGAAATCGCTCCCTTCCATCTCGAAGAAGAATGTACTGAGTAATAGGACCTGGAAGACAAAAAAACGCAGGCTATATGTCACGCCACACACATGAACTGTTTTCAAACATGTATGTCAGAGAACTTTTCAATTACACTTATTTATTTACATACATGTACGTGTGTGAAGGTCGGGACAACTTTATGGAGTCATTTTTCTCCTTCTACTCTGCAGGTCCCGGGGACTGGACTCAGGTTGTCAGGCATGGTGGAGTATGGCAAGCTGTCTCACCAGCCTTGACATTAAATTTTTAGAGAAATGAGCATTTTATTTATTTATTTTTTTTGGTTTTTCGAGACAGGGTTTCTCTGTGCAGCTTTGCGCCTTTCCTGGGACTCACTTGGTAGCCCAGGCTGGCCTCGAACTCACAGAGATCCGCCTGGCTCTGCCTCCCAAGTGCTGGGATTAAAGGCGTGCGCCACCACCGCCCGGCCGAAATGAGCATTTTAAAATACAACACCTTTCTATGTCCAAGCAGTTCTCAATTTTGTTACCGGGGGAAGATGGATTCCGGACAGAGTTATGTTATGTATTTATCTCTGTTCATGATTTAAAAGATTTACTTTCAACAATGAAACAATTTTGACTTCAACTATATTCTGCTTATTTGAAAGCAGCTCTGGTATATGTGAGGATTTGGGATTTTGAATGATTATTATTAGCATTATTATTTATTTTGGCTTAAAAAGATGATCGATGAACTGGCACAAGAGGGTTCCGTCTATCAGTAAATAGTTCCCACTGAATAGATAACATGCCAATATATAGTACACTCATTTCCATATTGGAGGAATTCACAAAGTTAGGTAATTCCACATATTTTAGGAATTTGCAAAGTTAGGTAATTCTATTTTTGTAGTAGCTTAATACCATTTGACTGTTTGGGCTTCTTCCAGTTTAAGAAAATAGCATCTTCAGGGTTGCCCGTTCTGGCCCATCTGGGGGCCCTGACTCCTTGAGGCACATCTTCTTTTGTGCTGGCTCTAACAGATTGGCTGAATCCTCTCCCGAAGCTGTTCCATGCAGAAACCCTGTACTCATACCTGGTACTGGGTTCAAGGTCTACATCTGCAAAGACAAAAACAGACTCTGGGGCTTTACTTTTTTTTTTTTAAGCCATCACATTAAAAATTAAAGTCAAAATCATTTTTAAATTTAATTTTTACTTCTGTCTTTCTGTCTCAGTCTCTGTCTCTGTGTGTGTGTGTGTGTGTGTGAGCGATGGTACCTGAAGAGGTCAGATGATGGCATTGGATCCCCTGGATCTGGAGTTCTAGGCAGTTGTGAGCCTCTCTCCTACATGAGTACTGGGAGCTACATTCTGATCCTCTACAAGAGCAGTACAGCCTCTTAACTTATGAGCCATGTCTCCAACCCCTGAAAATCAAGATCTCTAAACATGTAAAACAAATGCTTAACACTCTTACCCCTTTGTGAATAAAAATCAGATATCTTCATTTTATAAATCATGAAAAAATTGAAGTGTGGAGATGGGAGTCTCACAGCACGGAACTCCTCATTTCTGAAGAGAGAAGTGCTTATAAAGGAACAGCCGAGGGTCTGCGGTGACAGCTCAGAGGGAAAGTGCTTGCTGTGTGGGTGTAGGGACCTGGACTCCATACCAGATGCATGGGAGACACTAGGCTCAGCAGGGTTGCAATCCCAGCACTCGGGGTGGGGCGGGCAAAGGCAGATCCCAGAGCACCCAGGCAGTGAGAGAACTTACCTCAAAAATAAGATGGATAACAGATGAAGATAAACAACATGGTCCTCTGGCTTACAGATGTACATATGTACACACACACACACACACACACACACACACACACACACACATCACACACACACATGCACACATGCAGGCACTCATACGCACATGCTCAGGTATATACAAAAGAAGTGATTGAAAAGAAGACTAATATAAGGTTAAATTGAGTGTCTCAAAAGTTCATGTACCCTTTATTTCTAGATGAGGCAGGTTTGCCAATGCTATTTTGTAGTTTTGTCACTATAAATCTTACCAATTATTACTTTGTTAATATTACTTTATTAAAATATCACATAAGTTATATTTTCATGAGACACAGACTTGAAACTTAGCTTCTGGTGGTGCCATGTTAGTGAATAAAAACAATACCCCTGCAGTATCCACTTCTACCAAACCCAGAACCCAAAGCCAAACACCAACCAACCAACTAATCTCATTAGAACAATGAAACCCAACCTGCTGAGTGTTTGGTTGGCTTTCATTAGTCACTGTGTGTCAAAATCTTAGTTCCCTAAGTTCAATAACCCCCAAAGTATCGATTTTATGCATTTACAAAAAGAAACCCCAAAACCAAAAAGCAAAAAGAAAACCCTGAAAGTTTAATGATTTAAATTTATTTTGCACTTATTTACTCCTGTAAACTTGGAGCCTTTTTTACTTTTCACATTTGGTTTCTGAGTGACTCTTTGTCAGAGTGAGGACCGGAAGGGAGCTGCTCCTGGACACGTGCGCTCCCTCCACTGGAGTTTGTGTTAATTTGGTCCATTCTCTTAGGGACTTGAGCCACATTCTTTCTCTCTAAAACTTTTGATTGACTCTCTGCGGGTTCCACATCATGGATTCCCATCCTTCTCTTCTCCCTGTCCCGTCACTTCTGCCCTCTGCCCTTGCAACCTCTCTCACAAAACAGCATTTAAAAGTAAAACAAACAAAAAACCAAAACAACAAAAAGAAAACAAATAAAAAAAAAGTCTTGGCATGGAGGCTGTAGTGTGGCCCAGTGAGTCCATACATATTCACTTGTAAGTGTTCGCTGCAATGATCTGCTGCAATGATCTGCTGCAATGAGCTCTCAGTCTGGTTCGAAGTCTCTGGTTTCTTTTCTTTTTTCTTTTTTTGTTTTTTTTCAAGATAGGATTTCTCTGTGTAGTTTTGGGTGCCTGTCCTGGATCTTGCTCTGTAGCCCAGGCTGGCCTCGAACTCACAGACATCCACCTGGCTCTGCCTCCCAGTTGCTGGGATTAAAGGTGTGCGCCACCACCTCCCGGTGAGGTCTCTGGCTTCTGCTGCACCATAGACACTGGGCTCTCACTAGGACTCCTCTTGGATATCCTATTGCTGCCCTCTGTCATGGAGATCCTGGAGCTTTGGATTTGCAGGTCTGGCCCCTTCACATGCCCCAGCAGTTCATAGATGAGGTGGGTGTTGGGGTGGGCTATCTCATAGTCCTGGTTCTGGGCCTGGATGGTAGCTGGGTTGGTCAGTTTGCCAGCTCTCCCTCATTGACATCACCCAGGCGAGCTTGCCAGCACTGTCCCAGCTAGCTCACCTAATGCAGCAGACAGCAAGCAGCAGGGCCAGTTCTCCTGTTCTCATACCCTTGGGTCCAACTCACTCGTACTACACTCACATCACCACGGCCATCTCTACTGTTTTGCTCAGGTGAGGTGCAGGACCTGCTCTCCAGATTTCTGCACTTGGTGAGGGGCAGGTCCAGCTCTTCAGTTCTCATGCCCCTGAGGTCATCTCTCCTGCCTGTTTCTTGTGACAAGGAGTCAGGGGGGAGGACATATTTCCCTTACCCTTGCCATCTCATGGCATATGAGGGAGGAGGTAGGGGTAGCTTTCCTGTTCTCACACCCGCAGGCCTGGCTTCTCTGCCCCCCTGCCAACAGGTCAGCTCTAGTGCACTGCCCAGGTGAGGTGATGTGCCCCATCTCCCACCTGCTACAGCTGGTGAGGGGCAGGACCATTTCTTCCAATTTTGTGGCTCTTGGGCCAGCTCGCTCTCTGCCACAGGTGGCAAAGGGAAAGGGGAGGGGGCATTTTTCTTCATCCAAGACACCCCATGAGCCACATTTTCTTTATCTGCATCTCCAACAGCAAACTCTCCATCCTGACTACTTTATAGAATCCACAGGAAAATGAGATGTAGTTAGTTATGTGGCAGAACTTTGGAGAGTGTCAATTTCCCCACAGATGTTTTGTGCTGAAGTTTGGACCTGGATATCCCCAAAGCCCATGTGCTGATGGCTTGTTCCTCCAGCCTTGCTGCCATTGGGAGGTGGTGAGACCTTTGGGGGAAGGACTTGGTGGAAGAAATGACATCATTGGCTTCGTGTCCTTGAAGGGTATGTGCACACCTCAGCAGCTTCCTATACGTTTGCTTCCTGGTGGTCAGTAGGGTAGCAGAGTCCATCATGGTACTCTCCCAGCCAAACTGTACAGTCTTAGCACAGACCCTAAGGCAATCATGCCACTGACCGTGGACTATGTGCTTCTAAACTAGGAGCCCACACCAGGCTCTCCCTCCCTATGAACTGATTATTCTCAGGTGTTTGTTGTAGTAACAGGAATTCTAAAACACAGATCTTCTGTCTCCATTTTCCTTGGTAAGAGGGCATGTGCCCCTTGTTGCCTATGGCTGCTACTGGCACATTCTTACTTCTTCCTCCCTGATTTCCCTTCCTCCTGCTTAGAAAGTCTCCTGCCTTTTGTCATACCTTGGTTGGTGTGGTCACTTCATTTCCATATCACCGACTGATTGAAGTAAAATGGAAGACTGTTTTTTTTGCAGGGTGGGAACAGGATCTCATCATGTTGCCCAGCCTGCTCTGGAACTTGCTTGATAGTCCAGGTTGGCGTCAAGCTTGTAATCCTCCTGCCTCAGCTTCGAGGGTGCTGAGATTACATGCATTTACCACCACACCTGGCCTGCATCACTTTTAGGAGGGACAATCTCCTGTCACTCTTTGCTGTTCTTACTTTTCATGGAAGGGTGTGACAAGAATGTTGTGAGAAGCCAGGCCGTGGCATCATGGCAGTTGTATGAGAAACATGATGACCAGCTGTACTGAGATACTGTTTTCCAACAAGATGGCTTTTCTTTTGCTCCTGGGATTTGCAATATTCTCAGCCTCACCATCCTTCCCTCAAACTCATAGTCCCAACTTGTCCTTCCCTTCTCAGCTAAGTCACGAAGTCTTTCCCAACCTTTTTGGTCTGGACCGGGTGTCCTTACAATACTCTTCAAAAGCATCTGGGGTCACAAAGTTCACTTTGTGCTGACACGGATGCTCTTTGTCACACCACCCGGCCCCCAAACACCCAAGTGAGTTCTTCACTTAGGCTTCAGGTCCTAGATGGTAATTCTTGCTTGTCTATAGCTGCTGGTGCTAGTATAATGACTGCCTATTAGTAGGTACTATATAAATATACTCATTACATATATTATATAAACATATGTAATATAAATATATGTTGCTAGAGACCAATTCTAGAACCTTGTGCATGATAAATAAATGCTCTACCATTGAGACATATACCCAGGCTCTTAATACATGTACATATATACATATAAATATATAAAACACATTTTTTGAGAATTTCATGCTTAAATATTTTATTTACCTCATATCCACTTCTCCCCCTTCCCTCCAACTCCTACCAAGCTCCCCAACTCTCTCTCAACTTCTTCATTTCTTCTCTAATTATAACTGTTACTCATGCACAGTTACACACACACACACACACACACACACACACACACACACACACACACATATGGGGCAGGGCTGACACACACTGATCAGTCTAGGCTGCAATCAGTGACTGCAAGGAGAGGGACAGAACTCCTGACAGGTTCTCTAATCCCAAGTGAGCCCTAAGTGTGTACAGTGAGTAGCAAATGGACTCATCAGTGTGTTTAACAATTTTCACAAACCAGTAAAGTTTGTGGGTAAAGCAGGATGTTCATAAGCTCAAAGTCAGCTTGGGTGATGCAGCAAGTTCAAGGCCAGCTTGGCAATTTAGTGAGACAATTTCAAAACAAATAAGAAGTGGGCTGGGGACAAAGCTCTGTGGGAGAGTGCTGGTCAAAACTGGGTAAGTTGCTGGGTAGACCCTAGTACCGCCACAAATGAGAAAGTTTGTTTCTCATGTTCAATTTATGGCATTTTGGCAGGCAAAAGCGACCGGGAGTGTAGGTTTTAAAAGCCCTTATAATGTTACAACAGTAGCACATCTATTCATTTTGGAAGAAGGCTCACTCCTGCAAGTGTGTTTTGAGAGCCCTTCACAATCTTGACTTGATTGCAGGTGGCAGATAAAAGCCGGGGACTGTATGGGATGAAAACCCATTCATTTAAGAAGGAGAGTCCACTGATGTGATATTGAACTGACAGCAGAGGCTGGAAAGCAGGGCAACTGTGCTCTGTCTTGAAGCCTTTCCTAATGTTGTTTATTAAGGAGTTTTTCTTTATGAGCAGTGTGATAAATCCCAATAAAGGCAAAAACATATGATTTTTAAGAACATTTCAACCTAGAGGGACAGATGGAGCGAGTATCCACGGCAAGTGCCATGCAGCAGAGGGCTGGATTTTGTCAGCCAGATGCTGCAGGAATAGAAGGGGCTCATGGCTGACCTGGCCTTGGATTTGAGCAGGATGATGAAGGGCCACAGAAGGGAAACCAGCGTTTGAGGGAGGTGCCAAGTACCCGGAAGGAAGCTCCTTACCCCATGGAAGTTTCTAAATCTCATTCTTCCGAAGGCATCAGGTGTGGGTTGGTCTGCTTCCCACAGCAAGCTCCTATGATCTCACTAGATGACTGCCTTGGGAGTAAGCAGGAGTGTTGAGCTACCTCATACGGCACTGGAGTAAATTTTGATCAGCACACTTTATTTCCTCTCCTTGTCCCTTCCCTCTGTGAGCTTTCCTGTCTCCCCTGGAACTTTCCATTCCTGGAATTTGACATGTTCACTGCCTGTGGTTAAGGGAGGCACAGTCACGGTTCATGCTGACTATAGCATTGCTTTGTTTATTTAACTGCAGTGTATACGAATTATGTAACTAAAGTGGACTCTCTCTGGCTCTACATGTAACACACACACACACACACACACACACACACACACACACACACACACACCTTTTTGTTCAGAAACATGTACATTCTGTAGGCAACTTAGTAAACATTCTAATAGTAAAACATGTAATAAAGAGCAGAGCTCTTTAGAAATAATCTTCAGCTCTACAGAGCTCCTTATCCAGCTCAGCCAGTGCTGAGGACCCCTACTTTAGACTAATCCAAAAGTGCGAATGGGTGCTTAGAAGTTACCATCTCGGTGGCTGTGAGGGTGGTTGTTCTGAGGATGACTGGCCATCCTGGGGACAGTCCCATCCTGCAGTGGTCCCCTTCCTCAGAGCAACGCTCTTAGGGCTTTACCATTCAGTGTCCACTCACTGCCCTAACTGCAAGTTACTTTAGAACTTCAAGAATAAAAACATTGCCAATCAATGGAATATACCAGAAAGGCACACACAGTTTATCTATTTCTTGTTCTTTATTCTCTTTTGACTTAATTTAAAACAGGATATATCCCTATTGAAGGACAGACTTAAAAAATTTAAATAACTGGTTTTGAATGCATCTAGATTATGTCACTGATTACCATGAAACAAGCTGACCTAAAAGTATGATGGAATTGATTGACGTGAGGGGGAGTGTCAGAGAGAAACGGAGTGGAGTCTGCGTTAGCGGCAGCCTCTCACTAGGCCCACTCAGCCATGGGCAGAGAGTTCAGTATACCTTACCTATGAAGGATTGTGCATTTACATCTCCTGAATAAACTATCTCCTCCGCTGAAGAGCACAGTCTGTCCATTGCTACCCTGCCCATGGGATTGAGAGGGCCTCTCGTCACAGTGCAGATATGGGTGGTGGCATTGAAGTCACACTGCCCACAGTGTGCTGTGGCCTCCACGGATGCTGGGCAGACAGTTGCACATACCCTGGTTTCCTGTTGGGGATAGGGAGAAGTAGGTTTGTGAACTTCCTTGAGCCATGTGGAATGCATTTCTGTATCACTTGAATGGAATATTTTCCTCTCATGATAAACAAACATCCTAAAACACACAGAAGAAAATGGTTTGCACCCCAGAAAGAGCAGAGATGTCGAAAGGCCATCAGTCTGGATTACATTTGACTTTTGTGTCTTCCTAGCTCTGGGAACTTTCAAAGCCTTGGGTACATGAGTGCACGAAACGGAAACTGAATTCACCAGGAAGGTTTGATCTGTGAATTAAAGGACCTCACACCTGAAGTGCCTCAAGCTCAGAGCATACGTGACAAATATGAACCTTAGTTTTTGTGTGTGAACTTCATCATTTTCATGTGGTATTTTGGAGAAAATAGAGGATGAGAATCCAAACTTCTATGCTGTAAGAAAAATTGGCACTGGGATCAGCAAGCTGGCTCAGGGCTTAGAGGACCCTGGTGCCGAGTTGGAGCCCTGAGTCCAATCCCGGGTCCACATGGGAAGGAGAGGACCATCTCCATAGAGATGTCCTGGACTTCTACACTCTCCCTCATTCTGCCTGGCGCAAAGGTGTTCACGACCCCAAGACACAAATAAATAAATGTAACAAAAATTGAAAGAAGACAAGTTAGACCCACAATACATGGTGTTAGAAAACCTAAGCATCGCATATTGTCGTTATAACTATTTACACTTGTAAGTCTCTTCTCTGAGGAATCTAGGTCCTTTACAGTTACTGCTGAGTGCTCCCATCTGAAGAAATTCAGTGCTCAATCATTTTAAATTTTAGGAACTACAGAGAAGGTAATATTCATATAAGACACAGATCCACATTACATTCCTGCATATAAGTAGTAAATAGGTTTTAAATGGTTTTCATATTAAAATTTGATTATTTTTCTTCTCTCTTTCATGAAAGGTTAAATTCTCTCCAAGTTCATCAAAATAACACTTCTTCATAAAAACATGGTAGGAATTTCATTTTAAGAAAAGGCAAAGCGAACACATTTATCTGTCCATTTAAAACCTGTCCCAATGTAAGTAAAACAATGGATTACACACAGGAACTCAGCATATAAAATTTAAGGAAATGGTCGGGAAGTAATCCACAGGCATTTCAATATTTGTCCAAGCTGGAGAGCTGCTGCCCGGAGCAGACCCGGTACCTGTGCTGGGAAGAGCCACTTCTCCTTGAAGACGCCGGTCTCCAAGCCCACGTGTGTTAGCCGAGGCCCTCTAATTGGCTCCACGCAGAGTACCAAAGCAAAGGCAGTGGGAGCTGCAAACGGTATCCCAGGACAATCCAGCCAGATGTCCCCACTTTCCCTGTCCTCTGTGATCCTAGGACCATTGGTGAAGTACCAGGAGGTGAGCGGCTTGGAAAGGAGCTGCCTGGCTAATATTGGATGTGATATGAACATTTCTAAAAAGAAAACTGCCAAAGGGTAGATCTGAAGCTTGTTTACCATACCCTCCCAACTCAAAAAAAAAAAAAAAGAAAATTAAAAACAGAAACTGGTATTTTTGTGGAGTTATTCATATACTAAAATGTTTTGTGATCATTTTCTTTCCTTCCTTCCTTCCTTCCTTCCTTCCTCCCTCCCTCCCTCCCTTCCTTCCTTTCTTATTCTTTTTTCCTTCCTTTCTCTTTCTTTCATTCATTTTTTTTTTTTTTTTGAGACAGGGTTTCTCTGTGTAATAGTCCTAGTTGTCCTGGAACTCACTCTGTAAACCAGGCTGGTCTCGAACTCACAGAGATCCACCTGCCTCTGCCTCCTGAGTACTAGGATTAAAGGGGTGCACCAGCACCACCTGGCAATTGTGATCATTTTCTAATGTATACATATAGGTCAAGCTGCATACTACTCTGTCTCTGTCTCTGTCTCTCTTTCACACACATGTCAATCACATCTCAATAAGGCTGAAAATCACATTCTATGGAGCCATCACTTTAGCATATTCTATGGAGCTACCATTTTAGCATAGTCTATTTAAGCAATAGAACTCTGAAGTGTGTGGTTGACTTAGTGGTTAGGCAGGATTGATAAACAGCAACATTGGGAGGGGGAAGAAACTGGAGGTTATATAAGTGGCCATCTCTGGTATAGCATGAAAAAAAAACTGTCTCAGGATGGCTCCATGGGATGGGTCCTGGAGACAGGATGTCAGCCGTGGTATGCTGTTCCTGGCTGCCATTGGCAGTGTATGCCTGAATGAGACAAGATGAACAAGAGCTTGTGTGACCGAGAGGGACACAGAGGCCACACTGGGAGGACAGTCAGGACCCAGATTTAAAACGGGGAAAGGGAAAAGTAAATCTGCAAGGTGCACACTAGGAGCACCCCTATGAGTTCTTACTGTTCCTACACAGCCGGAAGCTAAGCAAACCCTACTGCTGATCTGGGGTAAAGTACTGGGGTACTTGTTAGGACTCTTGACCACGTGACTCCTTGGCCGACAGGTGACTACCCTGCCATGCTTCCCATTGATAGACAGAACATGACCATGCACAGCAAGCTTTACCGTGAAAGGTTAACGGGTTCAGGGCAAGCAAAATAAACCAAGAAGAGTCAAATCTGTGCTAAATAAGCAAATAATACCATTCAAAAATAAGCAAACCAACACCCTCAGAATCATAAACATAGCTATTCCCCTCCCCAAACCAAAAAAACCTTAAGACAAAATGGTTCTGTTTCTTTTTTAACTAATAGAAATGTTGAAAGATAAATCCACGGCAGTACCTCAGTGAGGCGAAAAATGACAAACTAATCAGTGGACAAGGAACAGCTAGAAGGGAAACAATGAAAGATAGATTTAAGAAGATCAGGACCAACTAAGATGTGAGAACTAAGGCAAGAGCAGCAGTATCCTCAAATAAATAATAAAGCTGCACCCCCAGGAGGGAAGGTGGGGAACTCCAGGCTAAAATGACATCCCCACACATCATTTTAAGGTTGGGATGCAGCTCACTGATAGATCGGGTGCTTGTCTGGCATGTACAAGGCTGTGTGCTTCATCTCCGATGCCACAAGACAAGCAGACTGACTGTGGATCATAGCAGGTCCGCGCAGAGGCTTATTTTCATGAAGTAAGATAGTAAGAACACATATTGAGGGAGGAAACAGAGAGGTGAAGGCTGGCACTCAGCTCGCTTTCTCTGCCTTTCCCATAGCACAGCACTGCCTCGGGTCAGTGCTCCCCCTCAGTCATTTCCTCTGGAAAACAGCCTCACAGACACATCCAGAGGTGTGATTCCAGGTTATTCCAAATCACATGAGGTTGACAGTTGAGGCGAGTCATCACAGTGGGCAGCTACAGCACCCCGGACTGTGCTGTGCAGGGGCCAGAGAGGATGGTGCTCGGTCTGGGAGCACACACTTCCTGTCATCCACTCATCTGAAGTGCTGGGTAAAGCTTCCCTGAGAACAGCTAATCATTAGGAATTCCTTTAGAATTCATTGCACTGGCATCAATCATGACAAACTCATTCGGTATTAATATGGATAGAATGCAAAAATGAATAATGCACACATGAGATTTTATATTCCTATTTTAGAAAAATAGTTATGAACAATGTATTTCTCTTTCCACCGTCAAAGCGGCACCTCCAAGAGGCTTTCTATCAATTACCTTCATCCCCATTCCAGTTGAAATCTCGTCAGAACAAACATATTTCAAAGGATTATATCCAACTCCATTACAGCATTGCTGGCTCTCTGGAATAAGTTCAGTGTCGCAGCATTTCACTGGCACTGGGTCATTCTTTTTAACGTGTGCTTTAGACTCGCCACTGGAAGCTGAGCAGCATATGGTATCTGACATATTCACATAATCCTGCCCACAACACAGCATTCCTGCAACAATAAAATGTTATATATGAATATCAAATAAAAAAAGGGAAGAAAACTGAGGCAGCCGTAAAGCTTGGTATAAAAACGTCAGACTCGGGCAGTTTCAGTGAAGGAGTCCTAGTAAAGGTAGCGTTTCCCTACCAAGGTGATTTAGATGTGTGATGAGGGTCCTTCTTACCAAGAGCGCCAGGCACTCATTAGGAAAAGAACACACAAGAGGAACCATTCGGAAATCATTCAGCTGGGCCAGACTCTGCCCGCACTCCATTAAAAAAAAAAAAAAGATTGGGTTTCTGTCAAAACTGCCTGCCCCTTTTGTGATGATAACATCATGTTGCACAAGTAGGTTAGCTAGATTAAAAGATCCTAGAGAGAAAGCTCCAGAAATTCACAAGGGAGGCTAGGTCACCCAGGCACTCTGGGATAAGAGCCAGGCAGAGTGGAAATGTAGTGACATCCAGATGAGCAGTCCTGGGTAAGAGCTGTGTACATCCTTGGCTGTCTTTGTCTGGGGTGTGGTATTTGTGTCTCATGAAGTCTGAAACAGTCATAGGCATCCTTTCTCCCAGAATTAGAATGGGTATGTACAACCAAGCCAGGGATACTGCTCAGCTTGTAGAGTGCTTGCCTATGCTTGGTCTCTAGTCAGTACTGCATAAACCAGATGGCATCACACTCCCGTGATGCCAACATTAGGGAGGTGGAGGCAGAAAATAAGAACCAAGTTATTTTCAGTGATATGTTGAGTGTAAGGCCATCTTGGGATTCTGCGGTACCTAAGATGATAACAACAACAGAAACAAGTAGCCAAGAGTCTTCATCTCTAATAATTCAGCTACATCTCTAATAATCCACATCAGAAGGGGAGATAATGAGCAACACAGTGACCACAACAGTGACCACAACTGGCCAAGACGCAGAGATGCAGAGGCTATGGCATGCTCAGTCCTAAATGGAATGCACACCACATGCCCTCCTCCCAAGGTTCAGGGACCACTGTGGAATGATGGTTAGAAAGAGTGGAGGCAGCTGTGGCTGACTCCAAGGAAACACTGCCTTTGAAACACAGCTGGGCAGTCAATCACAGTGGTTATTGGTTAGGACATCATACACAATCTCGGTGCAAGCCAAAGTCATCCCAAATGCCAGCACTGAGTGGGGAGTTGGCAGGAAGTCTCTCCACTACTGGGGAGCTAAAGGCAATTGTTAGCTGCTGGCGAAGGGAGAGCCACTTTTTTCTAAGAGTGTGGTCCCTGGTAAGATGATCATTCTCTAATGGGAGGCCAGACATTTAAAAATATATTTAAGAAAAACAAATTGGCCTTGATGGGTTTAAAAAAGGTAAAAAAAAAAAGATACAAAATAATTGGGTGGGTAGGGGAGATCTGGAAGAAGTTGGGGAGGTGGGTGACCATGATCAGAACCCATTGTACAAAGTTCTAATGAGCTAAGTACACCACACACCACACATGCACATCCAGAAAAATGAGCATGGCAGCCAGCCACTATTTTCTGAGCCTCATGCAGCTCTGGATCTGTCAGATGACCTGGTTGTAAGACTGGGGACAGTGATGCAAGGGAGGATCACTGATTCTCACATCTGAAGAGACCAATATACCTGAAGGGTCAACAGACTTTTCTCCCACTGACCAAATGCCCATCATTTGTTGCCATAGAAGAAACCTAGCATAAATTTAGACATAAAAGCACTAGTTAAATAAACAATTCTCTGGAGTCAGATTATGCTAGAACTCAAGGTGTCTAGATGGCATGTCGCCATGCTGGCTTATTAGAATTTGCATCTGGCCATAAAGCAGTACAACCTGATGAATGATTCATTTTAATTAGAGTTCTGTTTGTTTATTATTAGTCCTGACTGATAATGCAAAGAACTTCAAATTTCAAGTGTTCCGGGGTCCTGAATTGTTTAATCTGGTCCTGTACAAACATCCATATTAGGAACAGCACTCCTAATAACAGACCAAAGAATTTTCAAAGCTTCAAAAAAAAAATCATTCAGAAGATCTCAGTGTGGCGGATCTCTTAAAGAAAGACACTACTCAGTCAGGGCTCCGAAGAACCTTCACACTACTGTTTATAATTCAAAAAGATTTCTCAATATTTAAAAATTATATATATGACTAATAATAATAGATACTAGTCATTACACAGTTTTGATGTATCATGCTAACCTAAATGTGACAAGTCTTCAAAGTAATTGAAAGTAAACTATGATATTAATAATTTTTATTTTCATTCCCAGGGCATGTTCTTTATAATAAGATATGCACAGCAGGGTTCTCATTGTAGACTAAGTCTTAATTATATGGATAAAGACAGGTATATTCATGCAAAATGCCAATGCCTACTTATAAAGGTATGCTCTCATTCACACAAAAACAAAAGTGAACAGCATGGGCTTAAATTTGGGATTGTTTGGACATTATATTTCTGCTGCTTTCAGATCATATGTTTAAATACAACCTTGGTTTCTCAACTGCCACTTTCTTCCTCTTGTAATTTTCTTAAAACTATTCGTGTTTCCATTTTAAAGAGCAATCAAAATCTGAAACCTGGCCTTTTAGGGAGGAGAGTACAATCTCCCCCTCCACTCTCAAATTACTGCATGGCTTCACCATGCTGTAAGTATGAAATCAGAATGCAGACATTGACCTAATTCGAAACCCTAATCAGTCATCAGATCGCTCTGAGGGACTTTTGACAGGTCAACTAAAATTTTGATAATGAACTGTTTTTATACGAGGGGAGAAAAAAAAGGATGCTTTCTTTGACAAAGGGCTTCATCTTGGCTTTTCTGAATTGAAAATTTTCAAGCAAGATTTCACTCACATAACAAGAAGTGACTCCCTTTCTAGTTTCCTTGGTAAACCATTACTTCTTTAATTATTATCAACCTTGTTCCAGTGTGATAAATTGCTAATTACTTAATACTCTAATCAGCGTTCATTCTTTGCACAGATAAACCATGACAGTGCCATTAATTTAAATAGTAATTTCACTTAATGGCCAGAACGGCACACCAGATTTTTATGCAGCATTTTCTGAAGTCTGCATCCATCACTGTGATATTCTGACATAAAGATGTCTGACGTGCACTAACTCACTTAGGGAGAGCAGATGTTGCAAAGCGGGGCTTGGTAGTAATACCCATGGTGCATCACTTCAGCATGAATGAGCTGCAAATCCAGAGACAGACCAGCTTCCAAAAGGCATGGCAACAACCTTTGACCCCTGCCTAATTTATCACACACAGCACTTGACTTTTGAACTTTGACACACAGAAGTCACAATCTTAAATATGTCCAAAGAAAAACAAAATAAGTCATGTATTATTGATGGCTTGGTCTGTTCTTCCAAAGGCTCTTCATTACATTTGTATGAATGTGGAGAGACACAGATATTATCAAGGTGTACATGTGTAGAGGTTTGTATTTCAGATCCACTTGCGTACACAGTTTTTCACATCGTGTATACAGTCAGTGGATGACTTCTATTGTAGACAGTGGAGAAATGAATTAGAAGAAACTTGAAATCATATTATCAAGTACGGCACCAGCATTTATTTAATGCCCAGGACTAATGAGGAAATATTTATCAATATATCTGCCTGATAATTTGTAAGTGGTTTAAGTCTATAAAATGTGCTATACATTTTCCAGAGAAGACTAACAAATAAACACCTTACTTCTGAGATACAAACAGTCATGTAGTAAAAATTAGTCCTGGGTAAGAAAACTCATATTGAACTCTGGCTCTGACTAGGGACCTTCATACTTTGGGACAAAGGGTTCTGTATTTCAGGCACAGAAGAGAGAAGAAATGGATTATAATTAGCCCTTCGAACAAACTTAGAAAATTAGGGGCAGAGCATTTAAAAAAAAAAATTTTGCTTGTGATAACCAGTAGATGGCACTATGGCTACCATCACAAAACTGAGGAAGACAGTCAAGACTGCTCCCCAAACCACTGCCATACATTTTAGAACATGTATATACTATATTTTCCAAAAGACCATCAGGGTTGTATGGAGACATTTTGGGAGCAATCTCTTCCAGTCAGCTTCTGTACCATGGACTCCTGTAGCTATCCCGCACCTCCTTTAAAAAAAAAAAAAAAAAAAAAACTTGAAAATTCCATCTTAGGAAAAATGTGCATTTTTCTGGAGGTCCTCATTAATTTTTCTCAAAGCATAGTCTAGGGCATGTAAACCCAGAATTCTGCTATGAAACAATTTCAGGAGCGTTTCCTATCAAAGACTATGTGGACCTGATTTATATTACATATATATTCTAAAGGCAGGGAATGATCTTGGTCATGGCTAACAGAAAATCTCCATCCTCTCTGAATGATAGAGAAGGTTTTAATTTTGACTTTTAATATTAAGTGATGCATCAAGTCCAAGCCAAGATTAACAGCGTACATGATAAAACCATATACGCAAAACACTAAGGGGAAAAGTGTGTAATAAAGAGATTTAAAATATACTTGGAGAAAGTGGTTAAGAATACATATCCGCGGGAATGACTTTCATCCCAAGATACCTGTATAACACTCCCACACAACTCATCTGCCCAGAGAGAGCACTAAAAAACATAAACGCTACCCTAGTACTTCTGTTCCTGCGGCATCTGTTAATTCACTCCATTTATAAAATACATATTGACAAAGACAACTGAACTGGGACCAGGGAGATTTGATTTGGTGTGAGAAAGTCAATTCAATGTGATTTTGTTAAAGGGCTCCTGCAGGCAAATAAAAGAGTTTAAGTAATAAAGTACATAAGGAGATGTTTTACGAGCCAGGCCGGTGTCGCGGCAGGCTCACGATGCCAGGCAGTGAGAGAGGCCGGGTTTTGGAACTGCCTCCTCCAGCGGGTCTGGAGAATGGCTAGGGTGGAGAGGAACAGGTCTGCGAGCGCTCATAATCATCTGGGGAGACCTGAACGAGAGACAGCAGAGGAGGAGAGAGGACTCAGAACCTGGCTGTTTTCAGTGTGTCTCAAGGTCAAAGTAATAAAGAGATTTTCTCCTTTGTTTTACAAGTACTGAGCCTCTGCCTCCTCCACTGTGGCTACCAGAGTTAATGGAGGCAGAGACAGCACTGCAGAACCATGTCAGTCTTGCTTCATGGGACCCGAGGAACGTCACAGGGTAAGAAAGGCTTCAGTGGGTGCTGGTGAGAGGACTCAAGAGTACTCAGCAGTTAAGGTACTGCTCTCACAGAGGCCTCAAGCTCAGTTCTCTGCAATCATACCAGATGGTTCACAACCACCTCTAGGGGATCTGATGCTCTCAAATGGTCTCCACAGGCACCTGCAAGCATCTGCACATGTCCCTCACACACATACACATAATTAAAAATAATAAAAACAATTTCTTTTGAAAAAAACCATTTGACTGGTTAGCTATCACCATCATAACTGACTCAGAAGACATCATTCTGAAACTTGGGTCTATGGGTGAACTTCAAGGGTGTAAAGATGGAAGGCAATATGCACGTTTGCTTGCTTGTGTGTGTGTGTGTGTGTGTGTGTGTGTGTGTGTGTGTGTGTGGTGCATGCACATGCATGTGTGTGTTTTCAGGGCACTTTAACTGAAAATGAGAAGCTATAACTTGGAAAGAATTCTCCAAAAGGTTAAGAATCCGTTTGAGGGCCTTTCCTCTGCTTTCTCTCTGGCAACAGTGCTCTGCCATATCTTTTCTTCTTTGTGTTTTCCTGTCACCCATATTTACTTAGTCCTTGTAAGTCAGAGTTCTGACAATCACATCCACTCTCCCTGGAGCACTGACTGAATCCTTGGCTGCCTCAAGCCTGTCTCCCTCGATTTCATTGTGTAGGTGATGTACCGCCCGCCCATAGGCCAAAGTGGCACCATGGGCCTCAGCTCTCACAGGCTGCTTCTCTCGGGACCTTACTTGGGGTTTAGGATTCTAACAAGTGTACACCCCACACTTAGCTTTCTCCGTCCACTTAATGAGGTGATCACTTGCTTTTAAAACTATGCATGTTGCCGGGCGGTGGTGGCACACGCCTTTAATCCCAGCACTTGGGAGGCAGAGGCAGGTGGATCTCTGTGAGTTCGAGGCCAGCCTGGTCTCCAAAGCGAGTTCCAGGAAAGGCACAAAGCTACACAGAGAAACCCTGTCTCGAAAAAACCAAAAAAAAAAAAAAAAAAAAAAAAAAACCAAAAAAAAAAAAAAAACCTATGCATGCATTAGACTACTGGAGAAGAGAGAGTGGATGTGGGGTTTGGAGAGGAGAATGGCCAAGGTCCATTGCATGCATGGATGAGAACGCCCTAATGAAATTCATTAGCTTTCACAATTAAGACACACTAGCAGAAACTGAAATGCCCAAGAATAAGAAGGAGAGTATGTCACAGACTAACAGACACATTTAAATCTCTTGGACAAGCCAGAAGTAATGCAGATTTGGGGGAGAAAATGAAATCCTAATCATTTTTACACTCAAAGGGCAATCTCTTGAATACAGACTCAATACATTCTTGTTTGCTCAATGAAAGGATGTGGCAGTAGACTAATTAAGTAAAGGAAAAAACTACCTGGCTGATTAGTGCCACACACTTGCAATCCCAGCACTTGGATGGCTGAGGCAGAAGATCAGGAGTTCAAGGTCATCCTGCTCTACAGTACGAGATCCTGTGATAAACCAAACAAAACAAAACCCAAACAAAAGCCAAACAAAACCACCTTTGCTTTTGTGGCTTAAAGCAGTGGGTGTGTTCTACCCTAGAATCAAATCCACTTAAAACAACAACTCATAATCTGTAAAGACACATTTCTGAGGCATAAATATCTTTTCTAAAACTCAAAGCCAAATCAGTGAAAAGAATGGCATTATCTTTCATTTTTGTAAGCCAGTTTAAGATCTGGTATTATTGACAGCAACTGAATTCTCCTACTGGCTTCTCTCTGTTGCCATAGCACATGCCATATAGTGCCTGGAAAACGCCACTAGACACCCAGAAAGGACTGGGACTGCTTAGATGACTCAGTGGCTTGTGGTGCTTGTATCTTAGTCGACTCCAGGGACCTTCACGGTGTAAGAAGAGAGTGGACTCCACAAGCTGTCCTCCGATCGCCACAGGTGAGCCATGGCATGCGTCCCCGTGCCCCTCCACATACAGATCAATAAACAAGTAAATTAATAAAACTTTAATGCGTCGATTAATTTAGTATTATTATAAAAATAGTTTTGCTCTGACAGACAACCTACAGAGCTTCCTTCAGTTACTCTCATAAAAAACGACTAAGGCTGGAGTAGGCAGAGACGTTAAAATTTAGGGAGATACAGAGGGTAAAAAAATTCATACACTACTAAAATGAGGTGTGGTGAAGGAAAGATTGAAAGGAAAAAATTATGAAATAAAAATGGGGAAGATTAAAAAAACAGTGGCAGAAGAGATGTCTCAGCTGGTAAAGTGTTTGCCTTGTAAGTACAAGTCCTGAGTTTGATCCCCAGAAGCCACGTAAAAAAGTCGAGCATTGTAGCACATGCCTGTAGTCCCAGCACCAAAGAAGAAGGGGCAGGCAGGTCCCTGGGGATCATTAGCCATCGATCTAGACTTTACAGAAAGTTCCATGCCAGTAAGAGGCCCTGTTTCAGGGGAAAAAGGTGGACTGCATCTCAGGAAGGACCTCCACGATTGTCTTCTGGCCTCCACACGTATGTATTTGTGCACAGCCACCCGACACGGGAGGATATGCACATGTGCACACACATGCAAAATGTGAAAATCTCTATTTAATTAAAATTATTCTGATATCAAATGGGGAATTGAAATGAATTTCAGATCATTCCTGAAGTAGTAATACTGAAATGAAACTCTGTATTGGGACTCAGATCCATGTGCCTAGAGTATGGTAACACAAGGCTTGCTGGTTTGCAGACGGACTGGTGTCATCAAAGAAAACAGGACCCAAGTGGACAAAAATTAGAGTTTAGACCAGTGATTCTCAACCTGTGGGTCTCAACCCCTTTGGAGGGGGGGCCACATATTGGAGATCCTGCATGTTAGATATTTATATCACGACTTATAACAGTAGCAAAATTACAATTACGAAGTAGCAATGAAATGATTTTATGGTTGGGGGGGTCACCACAACATGAGAAACTGTGCTAAAGGGTAACAGCATTAGGAAGGTTGAGGACACTAGTTTAGATGGACACTACCCACTGCATATAATTAATGTGGTTGGTTCCACAAATATGAAGGTGAGTCACCACAGAGCACTTTCAGAGAAGAAAATCTGAAATACTCTGCGATCCTAAAGTGATCCTTGGTATAGATTTCCCGACATCTGACAATCATCCTATCTATGTAGCATTAGAATAATGAGCTGAAGATTATACAAGAGGGGTTTCCTGGACTTCTTTTATAATTTTCTTATTACAAATAAATATTCATTTTAAATATCAAAGTTTAAATATCAATTTTGTTTCTTTCCTTGCCCTCCCTTCCCAGTTCAGATCACCCAAACTATACTTGATCACTATACAATCTCCAGTAGGCCTCAAATGCTCAGATTTCAATTTCCCCATTACTTCTATTATTGTTACTATTTTGGGGTGCTGAGACTCAAACTCAGGGCTGCACAGACACGAGTGAGTGCTTTGGCACCTTTCCTAAGCTGTACAATAGGAATATAAAAAGATCATCTGTTTGTGCGGTAGTTGTAAAGATGAATTTTGGCAGTCACGTGCACAGCAACAGACACTACTGCTTGGCAATGTGGACTCATCCAGGGGCAACGCTTGCTACTAATATTAGTACTAGTTGCCTAGGAATATGAGAACAAAAAAGTAAAAGATTAATATTTCAATATCGGTAATTATTTTGTCTACTATTAGTACTTATTAGGAAACATTCTTTCATCCAGAAACAAGACATTTATGTGGGAGTTTATTTAGATTTAGTATATTTTTTGGTAGCATTTAAAAAGTTTTTTAAGATGTATTTTTCAAAAAATTGTGTGTATTTGTGTGTGGACATTTGCCTGTGGCTGCAGTATCCATGGAGGTCAGAAGAGGGCATCTGATCCCCTGGGCCTAGAGTTAGAGGTGGTTGTGAGTGCCACAACGTGAGTATGAGGACTGAACTTGGGATCTCTGTAGGAGCAGCAAGTGCTCTTAATCACTGAACCATTTTTCCAGCTCCCTCAAAAGAAATTTGATGTGTCTTTATGAAGTAGACTAGATACACTTAAAAACAAAAGGAGATTTTTAACTGTTACATAGTATATCCTTGTTTCATTAGATGTATTAATGTGAGTTTTAATTATCTGTTTGATTTCCAGGGCCAATCGCTCCTCTCACTTCCTCTCAGCTCTCCACATCCTACGGGACAGACAAGGGGTCTTACCTGGGAGGTGACTGTACACCATGCCCTTTTCTCCTCCACCACAGCACTTGAAATCCTGGCTCACCATCTCTCCTCCACAGCACTGCTGCCCATAGCCATCATGGAGCCTCCCAGCACAGCACACCTGGCTCCCGGAGGTGGCATATGGCATTCTGCCACAGCAGGCATCACCAAAGCCGACCGAAACTCGATTGTGCTGCTCATCTGGACAGCATATCTCTCCTGTCAGATTAGGACAATCACAGTTATCGCATGAGTTAAAATATGCCATAAGTCACAGTTAAATTTTAGTGCAATCGCTTCTACGAGGCTAATGACTGACAGGATGCCTCGGCAGAACGCCGCTCTACTGGGGTTGCAAAATTGCAATACCCCCCCAAACTTTTGCATTAAAGATGGAGTAATGGGTGTGTTTACTTACATCCACATATGCCAGCTCAGCGGCAGGGCTGTCCCCTTCCTGTTAGTCCCTTTCTTACCCTACCAGGCATGTCTGACTAATGTCATTTTGTGTTAGGCCATGATCATAGCCATCCTTAGCTCTGCAGTCCATAAACCACAGGTTAGATGTACCTGCCAGGACAGACTGGCATCTACTTTCCTGTTATTTTTACATACATATGATTTTACATATCTAAATAAAATCCAAGAACCACAAAGGAGAAAAAAAATATGGTGTTATTTTCCTGAGATAGATTGTCTTTGTAAAATGATTTCCAGTTTCACCCACTTTCCTTCAAACATGACTTTGTCCCTTTTTATGACTGAAAAAAAAAAAAAAAAACTCCATCGTGTGTGTACCACATCTCCCTTACTCATTCCTCTGCTTCTGATGCTCAGACCGGTTCCATCACTCCGCTCCCGTGAGTAGTGCGCAGCCAAGGCTGCTGTGGTAAGCTTTCATGCGGTCCTCTGGGTAAATACCGGGAAGCGGTACAGCTGGGTCATGTGGAAGCTCCAGCGTCAGTGTTTGAAGGAACCTCCTTCTTGACTTCCATCATGACTCTTCTGTTTACATTTTCACCACCAGTACAGAATGCTGCCTCCCCTTTGTCCACAGCCTCACCAGCATTCCTGGCTCTTTGTTTACAGACAGAAGTGCGAGAATCTTGAGGTCCTTTTAATTTGCATTTCTTTGGTGGCCAGTGAGGCTGAATTTCTTTTTTCGTATTATTGAAAACTTTATGGTTGTATTTCATGGTGAACCATCTACTCATTTCATTAACTCATTTATTCTGTTTTTCGATTTCTTACTTTTTGAGTTGTTTATTCTAGATCGGTAGTTTTCTACTTGAGTCACAACCCCCACGGGGTTCACATATTAGATATCCTGTATATCAGATACTTACATTATGATTCATAACAGTAACAAAATTATAATCATGAAGTAACAATGAAATAACTTTATGGTTGAGGGGGGCGGTCGCCACAACATGAGAAACTGTATTAAAGGGTCGCAGCATTAGGAAGGTTGAGAACAAGTGAGTGGAGCTAGGTATCAGTCCCTTGTCAAATCTATAGCTGGCGAATTCTCCCATTTTGCTGGCTATTTTTACTGAACAGTTTCCTTTGTTGTGTAGAAACTTGTTCAATTCTTGAAATCTCATTTGTCAATTGTTGTCACATTTTCCTAAGTGACTAGATAGCTGTTCAGATGTCCTCGCTGGTGCCAATGTCTTGAAGTGTTTCTCCTACTGAGAAAATTATTTCTTAATAAGGATATATTTACTTAACCAAACAAAACCCTTAAAACAGGAAGATAATTAAATGAGAGGAAGTAAAATATTATATTTAGCTAGGCACATTCATAATTTGCAGGGTTATGAGACATAATAAATTTCCCTAGAGCTTGTACATGCACAATGTCAGCATGTGAGATTCTGAAAATAAAGCTAATATTTAAAAAATTTAAATAAAAGATTCACCTTAGTCCTTGGCTTGGTGTTTTTAGACCAAAAATTTAAAAATTCCAGCTATCTAGTTTGTTGTTGCTGGCTATATGTGATTGTTTTGTTTTGGTAGCTTTATTTCGGTATGGAGGGGCCTTGAAGAGAATTTACAAAACTGCTTATCTTGGTGATATCTCAGAAATGGCTGACAGTATTTGGGAGATCTAGACCATATACTTCAGCTCCTCTTTACTTCCCATGACCCAAATCTGGTTGATTTCCTTCCTCCTTCCTGAAACTTGACTTTTTTCTCTCTTGCCCATCTCTCCTCTTTATCATGCCCCTTCAGCAGTTTCTTCCCATTTCCTGTACTGCCTTCTTAGGCATTTCTCTTTCCCTGGACCCTATTCCTTGACTATATTTCCAGGGTGTATGGGTACAGTGGCCATGCCAAATAGTTGGATGGTTTTAAAACATGGTCCAGAGGTTATATAATGTAAGCAATGAGTTCCAAGCTTTACTAAGGAAGGGCCCAAGTTCAATGAGAATTGAGGGAGCTCACGGTCTTGAATGTCCTTGTTCTCTGTTAATTAGTTCATCTTCTCATGAGACCTACAGTGTAGAAGCAAGATGAACTGACAGGAAAACCATGGGACAGTATCTGCCTGTGTTTAGAGACCTGAAGAGTAGGAAAATAAGACAAGAATTCATTGCAGCTATCCTACAGGTCTTTCCTGTTCCAATACATTGCTCAAAAGACTGTGCTACTAGACAATAACCACAAATTTCTAGAAATACAAATTTAACAAGACTGAACCACAAAATATAAAAAATCTGAAGAGACTCAGAAATTCATAACAAGATTATTTGATTTACCAAGAAACTTCCCATAAGAAATACTCTGGACAGATGGCTTCCTCTGCAAATTCTACTTATCCTTAAAAAAAAAAAATTAACACCAGTGTCTTCTTCCAGAAAAATTGAAGAGTGGGGAATAACTCCTAACTTAACTGTGAGTTATACAATACCCTGATACTAAAACCAGACAAAGACACTTAGAATAAAAAAAAAAAACCAAAAAACTGTAGATGACAATACTGATTCTGAAGAAAAAAAACTGGAAAAGAAAAATATCATAGAACTAAATTTAAAATCACATTAAAAGAAGAACACTCCACGACCAAGTAGGATTTATTCTGAGAATGGAAAATTAGTTAACAAGACAACATAGCACAAGGAGTGGATGAGAGTCCACTGCAGCACAAGTCTGACAGCCTGAGTTCAATACCTGGGTCCCTCAGTGGAAGCAGAGAACCTACTCCTCCAACCTGTCCTCTGACTTCCACCAGAGCACCATGGTATGCATAGAAAATAAAATACAGTTCAAAGAGATTAAAAACCTTTTAAAATCATGTGTATATTTGTGGGATGTTTGCATGCTAGCACAGGTGCCCATGGAGACCAGAAGATGATGCCAGATACTCCTGAAGCTGGAGTTATAGGTAGTTGTTGGCCATGACATGGCTGCTGGGAACAAAACTTAGGTCCTCTGTAAGAGTAGTCTGCATTCTTAACCACTGAGCCATCTCTCCAGACTCATCAATGAAAATTTTTAAAAAGGTCAGCAAATCAAAATATAACAATACAATACAACACTATCCTGACAACCAAATAAGGGGAAGGTGGGGGACAGGCTCTCGGCTGAAACAGAAAAGGCACAAACAAAGCTTTATCTCTCTCATTGTACTTGACAAAGCAGGACTATAAGGAAAATGCCTTAGCATTAGTAGGGGTGAATATGAAGAGCCTCTAAGAGCCCACTCTAAAAACTGGAAGGCCTTCTAAGATCAGAAGGAGGCAGAGATGCTGGTCTCTACTTCTCAGTGCAGAGTTGGGTGGTAGTCAGAGCAATTACACAGTAGAGGGAAAACGGGCATCCAAAACCAAAGGAGGGGGGAGCAAAACCACGTATGTTCTCAGACAACAGGACCTTAAAGGGAATAACGTCCCATTTATTAAAGACAAGAAACACCAGGACTACTCAATGAATTCATCCATGTTTCAATACGTAAAACATACACAAATAATCCACTAGTCTACACTGTAAGAACAAATAATCTGAAAGACAGTCACATTTAACACAGCATCAAAAGTATACAATACTTAAGGCTGAGCTCAACCAAGGACCCCGGAACAGCGAGAGCATCAAGAAACAGCCCCGTGTAAGAGCATCCCACGGTCACAGATGGGAAACCACTGCTAAGATGTCTGTGCTAGCCCAGGTGATCTGCAGAGCCAAAATGACCTCTCAAAACCCCGAGGCTTCTTTCGGAAATGGGAAAGTCATTCTAAAATTCACACCAACGCGAGGAATCCAAGTCGCTAAAATCATCCCGGCTGAGAACAAAGTCAAAAGCCTTCCACGCGGTGACTTCAAGCTCTAGTACGAAGCTGATGCGGCAAAACAGTGTGGTACAAAGAACGATGCTCGCTCGGCAGAAAAGAAATAGACAGAATAGCAACAAATTCACACGTGCGCTCAAGGAATCTGTAACAAAGGTGTCAAGACCACCCAATGGGGGAAAGAAACATTCCTGTTTGCACAGTTAGTGTTGGGAAAAAGAAACATTTGTGTGAAAAAGAATAAAGTCAAATTCTTACTTTATCATATGCCACAAGAATGACCTCAAAATGTATTGAAGATCACAGAGTAAAACTAAAATTCAAAATTCTTACTAGAAAGCATCTATGGGCAGCTTCATGACATTGGGCTGGGTAATGATTTTTGAATTGTTTTCATTGTAACAGGAAACTTATAGCCATAAAAATAGATGAATTTGTATCTGTCAAAATTTCAGACTTTGTGGCATCAAGGAAGACAATGGAGTCACAAGGAAGGCACTGGAGAAAGTATTTGGAAATCATGAAATACAGAGGGATTATGTTAGACACTTTATTTTGCTATATAACAAAATGCCAGAGACCATGTCATACAGTTTTTTTTTTTTTTTTTTTTGGTTTTTCGAGACAGGGTTTCTCTGTGTAGTTTTGCGCCTTTCCTGGAACTCGCTTTGGAGACCAGGCTGGCCTCGAACTCACAGAGATCCGCCTGGCTCTGCCTCCCGAGTGCTGGGATTAAAGGCGTGCGCCACCACCGCCCGGTAAGTTTTTAAAGGTCTATTTAGTTCATATTTCTGGAGTTTGAGAACATGGCACAAACTTGTTCTACAAACAACTTCATGGCAAGAGTTTGTGAGTGAAGGGCAGGGCAGGCTCCCGGCCAGACCGGCTGGAGAACTGCAGGGCTCGGTGTGTACTTTAAATGACAACACT